TCGATCCCTGCCATAATAAGTCTGGCGAAGAGATGTGGTGATCCCCGAAACAGCTGTCCTTTTTATCATTGTTCTTCCCCCCATCGCCGGTTAGAGGTTCAAGAAAGTATACCTGTAAGCCGAACTTGTCGTAAAAGGCAACTCAAATCCAATAGTTCCCGCGACAGTGGGGTCTTTTTCGTCAAATGATCCGGATTTTATATCCGGCCAAGGACTGCCAACCCCCGCAACATTACCCAAAAATTACTTTAAGGAACAACAACAAAAATACGATTTTTCCTTGATGTACAACAAAAATATTCAATTCATATAAACAAACCAGGGCTTCAGGTTACTTAAAACTAATTAAAATAAAGTTCGCTCGGTTTTTTTTATTAATTTTTCAAAATATGATAACTTTGTGTTTTATTCGTAAACTTGTTGCCAACGAGATGCCATTCATTATACCTCTCTAGTAGAAGAGTGCGTCCCTATTGGCAAAAATTTGGAGCCAATTTCCCAGGCCTCTCTTGAGGCCAAGTTTTCACCATTAAGCGCGTTCGCCATGGACAGGAAAAGATGGTACTCACTTGGTGCCAGGCCCGGAATATAAGGTAGGTAGGTGCATTAGGACCTCCCATCCGAGCTCCTGGAACTTCTGGCGCTTCACCAAAGACGTGTGTGTCATGGGATGGTCCTGATGGAACACAATTCGGCCTCTGTTGATCAAAGATGACCTCTGTTGGATGAGTGCTGCTTTCAAGCGGTCCATTTGTTGGCAGTAGAGGGCCGAATTGAGCGTTTGGCCATAGGAGAGCAGCTCGTGGTAGATGATTCCTTGCCAATCCCACCAAACATACCTCAAAATCTTCCTGGCCGTCAATCCGGTCTTGGCCACCATCTGGGCCGCTTCCCCGAGCTTTGACCACGACTGTTTACGCTCGGTGTTGTCGTGAGTGACCCATTTTTCATGGTCGGTCACAATCCGATTCAGAAACGGATCGATTTCGTTGCGATTCAGCAGCGACTCGCTGATGGAAATTCAGTCCATCATGTTTTTTTTTGCGTTAGTTCGAGTGGCACCCAAACATCGAGCTTCTTTTTTGAATCCAAGGTTATCCACGTTCGTTTACACAGTTTACAGTTTACGTTCGTTTATAATAAATAATAATAGTGAAAACTCTAGAATTGTTTCTTATATAATTATTTATGCAAATTATTTGTTTACATCGATTTTTTTAAATGTTTTTTTAATATATTTAATGGTTTTTAAAGGTATAACTTTTTAACATATTTAATTTTAACTTTTTTTTAATATTTAAACATTTTTTTTTATAGTTTTTATTTCTTTTCTCTAATTTTTTTAAGTAACATAGCAGATATTAAAAATGCTAGGTACATATTTAAGTTTTTATTTAGCAAAATTGAAAAAATAATTGAATATCATTTCTCTGTTTTTCGCGGAAAATCCATTCCGATCTCTGCTAACTTTATCAGTGGCTTTTAAAGAAAGTATGGTGAATCCCTTTCCTGGTGTGGTGATACCCTTTCCCAAAGTTTTTCAGAAATTGTTCGAAGGTGGTTCGATGTTGCAACGAATTTGCACCTTTGACTTTTGACCTTTGTCAAAGACAAACTTTTAGCGCGAAGAAAAACGTTTTCAGCGCCGCGGCATAGTAACGCCGTCAATTAGATAAAAACCGAACGAACTTTTTAATATAATATAATTATCTTCTAATTACGTTTAAAATATATTTTATGCTCCAAAATTGAAAGAGATTTAAGAACAAAGCCACCTCTGAATGGTTAAAGATTTAAACAAAACATAAAATTATTATTCGACATTAAATTATTTTAATTAGATTTAAAACGATTTGTTTTTATTTATATTTCTTTTAAGCAAAAAAAAAAAAATTATTTAGACGAATTAGCTAACAAATTTATACAAAATATAAAGACGATATGCATAGCGAATTCGCATCAGAAGGGTATAGGATTCAAAAAATTTTGGAAATCCTGGTACCAAGAAAATATCAAAATTATTTTTTTTATGATCGACGCTTGAATAAATTGGATAAGGTTTTTTTTATTTTTAATTTTTTTTTAATTGCTAGCGCAGGTAGTGAGTTTTCACGCTCATGAAGCACTCTATGAAACAAATGAATTCCAAGATTCGGATTCGACTTTACTCATTTATTAGTCAAAATTTGCATCTTTCACGGGTTGCCTAATTTGTGGCTGATCAAAAAATTCAAAAAAAAAATTCTGAAAGAAATTAGTCGTTCGAGTCCACAATGATTTGAATCATCAGAAGATTTCGATTGCTGGATTGCGCCTCTCGTAATAGTAATTAAGACATTAGAGCAGAATATAAGTTAGAATCAGATCACTTATTTCGATGTCCAGGGCTAACAACGTATATTTTTCGAACGCATAAGTAATAATCGACACGAATATCGTTCCATTGGACCATAATCATGGACACATGTTCTAAGGAAAGCCATATTAAAACAAATATTAAAGCTGTTAAAAACTCCCTCAATTTGCTGTTGACCACAGTAATCATTTAAAATATCCATGGAAATATATTAAATAAATTTTAAATCATTTAAATTTATCTAAGAAATAAGCTAAACTTTTAAAAAGACAAATGGAGACCCACCATTAGTGTTTACACTTAAAAAGCTAAATTTTGTATCGAAAAAATATTTCAATGGACTACATATAATTTTTTAACTGAAATGAAGCTGCAAATTATTTATTTATAATTTTTTTTGGCTGTAAATAAGGATATATAAAATATTGCAAATGCCCTTCCGCTTTGTACATTGGTCAGAGAACTTAAGTTATTTTAAGTTCTCTGATTGGTCTCATCTCACATGATGCACATTACATGTGCGCTACACTGCCTTATCGACTCTATCAAACATGCTGCAACCAAAATTGCAGTGCCCGCACAAATAAGTTCTCTGCAACAGCGCACTACTTGCATCCCAAACACTGTCACTGCACAACAGTGCACAGAAACCTACACGGATACAAATATCACATTGTCCATTTTTACTTTTCACCCTCATTCGTCTTTTACTCCAACTACCTTCATTCTTCTTTGGCAGCTCTTCAGCATGTTTGATTTTGTATGTGGCGGCAACAGAAGTGGAAATTGTAGGCGTGTTACGATTACAGCGCATTCGCCATACAAACACTGACGTCACACTTACAGCCAACCAATCGGAGGGCGAATGGTCAATTGGTGGCAAGAGATGAGAGTTTCCAGAGATATGTGAACTGAGTTTGCGTCCAGTTCATGTACGTATTGGAATGGTTTGATGAGAGGAAAAATGCGTTGCCATACAATGAAATGCGTCGACAATCGTCATATAAGCGGATTTCACAAAAATAATGTTGTTGTTGTTGGTGGTGGTGAATAATTTTTGCGCTACATTTTTATTGCTTTTGCTTAGTGTGACAGCCATTTTTGCAGGTAACTATATACATATGTATATAATATATGTTTATCGACACATGTATGTAATTGCCGTTAAGGGCCATCATTTGTGTCCTGTCGCCACAACAAACCAACCATTCAACAACACAAGTGTCCCGTTTGGCTCATACGCCTTTAGTGCTTTGCCCTGCACAGGGCGTGGAACAACTTCTAATTGCTCTTTTACAATTTTCATTTGACATAAAGACTTTTTGTCGTTGACATTTGCATACTTATGTGCATACACATATATGTGTGTATTATTTATAGCTCTTCGGAAGGTAAGCAAACATACATACATACATATGAGTACATAGGTGAATACGTAGTTGTTTTCATTAGTAGAATTGATTTCATTACCGCTTTCATTTCATTTTGCCATACCATTTGTGGCCAATCAAACGCAATCTAAAATCAAACTGCAATAATTAGATGTAATTGTGTTCGAAACTAATAGCTTCATAATTTCACTGTAATTTCAGCTTTTCTATATTTATTCATTCCATATTCACTCATTTAGCAATATTAAAAATAAAAAATCAGCCCTAGGGCTGAGGATATCTTATTCGGGATTAGTACCTGAAACAACCTATATTTTAAATTTTGTAATTTTTCCCCCCCGAAAGTGATTTTGAAACCGAATTAGTCATAATTTCCAAGAACGTAATGCACAACATTTTCTTTCCTAGAACAAGTAGTGGGGGATGACATGAAAATTACGTATCTTAGAGCGCTTAAAAAGGAGTCAGAGGTATACTTTGTAGAAAATTCATTTTGGATCTAGTCTAGGCCGATAAATTCATCTTACTGTGTGTAAGATATTTACGACCAGGTATTATAACATAACCTAACCAACTCCCAACATGCCGTTTGTCCCTTGCACCCCGCACGACGCTAACCACCTCTTTGCATGGCCTCTAAAACCAACTCATCTAACCCTACTTTCCTTCAGGTCTGAAACCGTCGAAGTAGCGCCTTTCCTTGAACTCCCGTTAGATGTCCTCGAATTTACTGATTTAGCCTGTTTTCAAACGGAGTTAGCGAACCGCTACAACAACAACAACAACAACAACACCATAAACATTGCCGTTTCAATTCCTTTGAAGTACTGACCGCATATCAGACAAAAGCCCGTCCATAACATCTTCTTAGCGTAGACACGTCTCACTCGATTATAGGAGAGTTAAAATATTCATTTTTTCTTTTAGGCATCTGACGCCAATCGGAGCCAAGCAAGGTTTTATGCACCTGTTCTTTCCATTGGAGTGGAAGTTTTTCTGTTTCCACCCACGGTCACCACTTTGATAATTTTCAAAGCTAGAGAGTTATCGATATCTCTTAATTGATGGAACTAGTTAATGCCGACCGCAATAGCCGAGTGGTTAGTATTACGAGAAAATTAATTTCTCTAATTGCGGTCAAATCTTCCGAGTGTATTTCGACATGAAAAGAAATCTCCTCATAAAAAACCATCAACCGTTCGGAGGTGGTTGAGTATAAACTGTAAGTCCCTCCATTTGTTGGAAGAGCTCGGCCGAAAAACGCTGTAGCGGTTACAAAGCGACAATTAAATATATATATGTTCACATCATCTCGTACTGCTAATGGTTCCATGGTCTTATTCACTTTGCCGATTCGCTAATATGTTTTGTAAAGCCTTGCACCCCAAAATTCCAAGTTCCTAAAAACAGGACGGAAAAAAATGGCATTTAGTAGAACTTGGTTTTAGTTCGAAGATGAAATATACTTACGGCAAAGATTAGTATAAGACGGATGTTCTGAAGAGCTCAATAATTTGAAAATTAAATAAGAATTAAGGAAATAAAATTCATGGATTAAAATTAGCTCAGGATTAGTTAATTGATCAATCAACATTAGAGAGAGACAGTATTCTTTTACTTATAGCTATCACTGCGGCAAGTCTCCAATGTTGCATTTGCTACTTACATATATATTTATGTATATTTTAAAAGTGAGAAAGGCTGCCAACAAAACCAAGATCTGTTACCGCTTTTTAATTTAGTAAATCTTCAAAGCAAGAGCACTAGTTAAAGAACCTCGCATTGATTACATAGAAGATAACTCTCTTTTTGCACTCTTTCGTGTTATATTTGCAGTAGCATGCACAAGACGTAATCATCTTTTTGTCTTGACCTAGCTACATACATCACTTTTAAAGACAGCCATTCAAATACAAAGAAATCATTAGATAAAACGTCGTTCTAGTTAATTTTTCAAGAATCCAGCCATGAATTTAAGTGATTTGTAACTCAATTTGATCCTTTTTCAAAAACTTATTCAGCCGCCATTGTTAGGAGGTCATTCTCTTGATCCTTCACATAGTATTAGTAAGCACTAAAGTAATAAATTATTGACTTTATGTTGTCGTCTGTGACATTTTATTGAAATGATTACTTTGTGAATTTTCATTTATTTATTTGTTTACATGCATATTTCTTACTGCTCTTGCTGTGGCAGTAGCTATTCGGTTGCCTTTGGCTCATATTTCATTTCGTTCCCAACCATATTATTTATTTGTCGAGTAGCGATGGCTGTTTGTGGATATAGGGGTGCTTGGCACACAGCCATATATACGTAATCGTGAATATACGACATATCAAAAGTCACCTAGAGGCGGAAGAAAAACGTACATACACGTATGTACTCGTATGTGTATATACATACATGTAAAGTGTCCGGCAGGCGTATACAATCATTTTGTAATGATAGTATCATTAACAATAATTACGGTTTGATTGTTTCAAGCGTCGTTTTTTATGTTTCGCTTTCGCGGTGCTCACTTACTGTAATTTTGCAGATTGTTTCGCAGTGTTGTTGTATTGCAGCCAAAGCTAACATGGAAACATGTGCACACACAGCATATGGTTTGTTCATATTAAAACATCATCAGATGGCTGCAGGTCTCCACTCTCCACTCATTCATTGGCCATTAGCTGAAATTATATTTGGTAAATAAATTCACTAAGATTAATTAGCGTAATAGATATCGATTAACTTTTTTTCAGTTTCATCTGATTAGTGGCACCCAACATGGGCATTAAAAATAATATATACTCGCAGCTCAATTCGACCAGTAAAAACTATTTGAGTGACTCTTTTATGGGATATTTATTAAGTCAGCGTGCAAAACACTTGTCTAATTAAAATTTAAAAGTAAACGAAAAGCAAATAATAAGAAAACCTAAAATGAAATAAAATATTAAAGATGAAAATTAAAATTGAGATAAAAAAATTAAACTAAAATAAAATAAAATAAAATAAAATAAAGTATTATAAAAAAATAAAATAGAATATACACAGCTAATTCTAGAAATAAAAGGGAATAAAAATTCAAACTAAATAAAATTCGATATATATAAGATTTTTTTTATATGAACTCTAAAGAATTAATTTAGAAAATTTAATTAAGAGAAATAGAATAAAATTAAATAAAATAAGATAAAAAATATAAAAAAAATAATTGAAAATAAATTAGATAAAAAAAATATAAATAAACTATAATATAAGTTTTATAATACATAAAATAAAATTAAAATAATATTAAGCTAATTAAATTTAGAAAACTCAGACAAAATAAAATAAAATTAGAAATATATAAAGTATTTATAAAATAAAATATACATAAAATGAAGTAAAACACAATAGATTAAAATAAATTAAAACAGCTGTTAATAGAACGAAAAAATTAAAAAATGGAATAAAAATTAAATTAATTAAACTAATAAATAATGTTAAAAGAAAGTAAAATAAAATTCCTTTAAATATAAATAATTCTTTAATTGGCTAAATTTTTTTTGTAACTGTTTAAAGCTGCCAAAAGGGTTTTTTTTTTTTAAAGAAATGTTTACCCTCTTTTAGAAAAGAGGACGATGATCGATTTTTTCGAAAACTACTTATTTATGATTCGATTTAATTGAAATTAAGCAAATATCTGATATCTGTGTAGATTTTTGTATAAGTTAAGATAAAGACCACTTTTTCTTAGATATATAAGGTTCGAGTAACTTGAAATTCATTTCTTTTCAGGGAGAAGAAGATAAGGACTCGGAAGTGTACTTGGGACCGATCTATACTAAAAAATATTTAATTTATGGTTTGTTAAACTTGAAATTTGGTACATGTGCAAATTTTTGCCTAAATAAACACAGAAGATAGCTTTCCTTGAGAAAAATGTATATGCGACCGATGTAACCTAATAATATTTTATTCATTCAATTACTTTAAAATTAATATTTTTCCAGGAGGTTGACCGGTCTTATTCAGACAAATATTTTTATGACTTGAATTATTGTGAAAAATTGGATCCCACATAATGTGCCAATCGCTCGTTTCAATTAAAGATGAGCCGAATGCAATAAATGTTGTTCGCACGAAGTGTATAGAATTGATGAAATTTTTTTTTTTGAAAAATAGTTAAGCGATTTTCGATGATCAATATTGTTTTTTTTTTGGTCTTTAGTACCGAAATATTAAAGGCACAACGTACGAGGTTACCAAGTTTTTATCTAGATTATCATATACAATATCTACTGTTCGGGAAGGGGATCGCAGAGTAAGAGATGGGTAAAAATTGATATTATATGATTAGATCGTTCGTAGATCACTGCGTCGTGCTTGTAAACAGCATTTTTTCATTGGCCACATTTATTAGGTTGCAAACTAATCTTTTTTGTTCAATCTTATTATGATCTAGCTTAGATCCAAGTGGCATTCGGCTAGTTTCGAGGCATTAAAATTGTAAATACTTACATATATTTTTGTGAAAGACTTTGAGTCGGGACTAAACTCTGACTACAGCAAAATGTGACATTAAATTTATTTAAAATTGCACACTATTAAATAAACTGAATTACTCAAGATTGCTTTTATGTTATATACATAACATTTCTAAAATTAATTATTTTAAGTATTCTTGCACAATTTGAAAATGTACTTTAGTCAATTTAGTCGATTGGTTTTCTGTATTTTTTTTTCTGCAATTTTTCAGACCGTTGTCAATTGCATGTTACACACAATTCAAAATAAATTGACGATAATTGCTCAATACATTTGAGAGTGTATGACAGGAAACATCCTAACCACTAGGCTTCTGTAAATTTAAAATAAAAAAACAAAAACACCAAAGAAAAGAAACATTAAAAAACATAAGTTTTATTGTCAACTGTCATCAACTATCTACCGTTATGCTGCCGGGCACCAAAATTGACCACAACAGAAGCAATTTTCTTCCATTGGTATTCACGTACGTTGAAATTAATTGCGGTTTTTAACAAATTTTCTGCGGCTTGTCTCATCAATCTGAAAATAAGTGTATAAGTGTTTATGGACATACAACACGTTCATCATTTTAGTCGAAGAAGAAGACTATTAGAGCTTTCAAGCAATAATTCATGACATTTGTTTGTATGTACGTGTATGTTTGAATGTATGTACTACCATTTTATGATTACATGTGTGTGCGCAGTTCACTCGTCAATTTATTTTGTTACACCTAAGACACTTCAAATAATTTTTCATTTGTCAGATTCCCCTCACACCTTTCTCTATAACACAATTAACCCCAATTTAAATGGTTTAAACAATTTGGAATGAAAATGATTTAAGCTTTGTGACCACAAATACCGGTGGTGATGGCGGCTGAAGATTTAAACGCGTTGAACTTTTTTTGTTCACATACAATACTTTCAAAACCACTATTATATATATATATATATATATATATATACATAAAGGGTGATTTTTTAATAGCTTTAAAAAAGAAAAGACACATAAAATTCAGAAAAATGCATAAAATCTTTATTTGAATCGATAGTACGGTCCATATAATTTAATGTTTGAAGATTATTTCATGCAAATTAAAAAAAAAAATTAAAAAATTAAAATAGTCCATCCGCTTTTTTTTGTCATACTATTTCCAACATTTCGGCCGGTATTCCACGAATAAATGGTTCAATGTTGTCCTCCAATGCGTCAATTGAAGCGGGCTTGTCTGTTTAGACATTAGATTTAACATAGCCCTACAAAAAATAGTCTGAAGGCGTTAAATCGCACGATCTAGGTGGCCAATTGACCGGTCCTGCACGTGAAAAAAATTTTCACCGAACTCGCCTCTCAATAAGTCTACTGTTACGCATGCTGTGTGGCATTTGGCACCGTCAATTGGGCAAAAAATGTTTGATATCATCTCATGTTAGCGCTCACAATTCACAGTTACGTTATGTTTCGCATCATCATGAAAGAAGTACGGTCCAATGATGCCACCAGCACATAAACCGCACCAAATTGTGACTTTTTCTGGATGCATTGGTAGTGATACAAAACACGAAACGTTCGTTAGCTCATCTAAACCAGTCTTGCTAAAAAGATAAATGCGAACAAATCACCCTTTACAAGTACATACATACTCATACATATCAATTATAATTTTCCATGTAGGCGATCTCGCTTGGCGGCCAAAATTACATGTATCCTATGTACAGACTCTTAAATACATACACGTGTGTACATATGTAGGCTCTGTATGAGCTTAGTGAAATACAGAGATATTTATTGTATTTGGCGTTGAGTTGAAAAGTGCTGACAAAAGCTGTCACTGCCAAGCGCTGTCATTAAGTGGCAACAATTAGTATAGAGAACAGTAGTAATAACCGATTGGAGATCGGCAATCGGAGTGTTTACCAGTTGGCGTTTGGCGTTTGGCAATTGGCGTTCGGCGTTTGGCGGTTGGTGGCTAATGTTTGTGCATAGATTTTGAAATTAAAATTGATTGATAGCTGCAAGCCACAGCTGCAGCACACCACACGACATAACTGAAAGCGATTGACCTGTTTTAAAGTGAGCGTTTCACTCCATATATGTACATACATATGTACATTTATAGATATGTATGTACATACAAAAATTTCCTAGCATAAAAAATTAGATGTTGAAATTGTAATTTTATGAAAATCATAAATTTTCCTTGAATATCTATGTAAAAGTAAAATATGAAATTATGAAATTGATTTTTGTTTAAATGCAGCTAAAGCTTTTAAATATATTTCATTAATGCACTTTTCATTTTTACTATTAATAAATCCTTAATTTGATAAATAAACGAAGGCTTTGAAGTATTTAATACTATTTTGCTGTTGAAGTAACAGTAAAAAAATGGATAGAACTTTTCAGCGTTGATGAGATTAAATTTATTTGCTGATGTAGGCGAATCTGATATTCTGCTAACGCATTGAGTTGATAAAGTTAACCTTCGATAGTAACTAATTATTACAATATAAAAGGATCATAGGGTAAAATAGTCCAAATAGGCCGTGAAGACATTGAAGATGACGAACGCCCTGGACTCCCGAGTACCTCTACAACATCTGAAAGTGGAGAAGGCGATAGAAGTGGTTGTGAGCAATTGCCAAACTGCAGTAGGAGAAGCCGCTGATGCTGTTGGTTTATGTTATAACGTTTTTTCCAATGTTTTGGAACATTGCTTTTTCGTGAGTTTTTACCAAAAAATGTTGGCCGAGCCTAACCATTCGCCAGACATTTACTACGGTGTGTCCTAAAAATACCCAAACTTTATGTTTAAATCATACAACATACAGCGCCATCTATTGAAAATTTGCAACATTAAAAAGATACATTCATCCTCTTTCAAACGCACCTAACATCATGTAAGCCGGATGACAGATGTAAAAGTGGCAGCTGTTTCAATGAAACCAAAAGTGGGCTAACGGTTCAAAAATAGAATAGAACAAAGAGCAAATAAAAAATTTTGTGCCAAACTTGAAAAAAAAATTATTGAAAAAAGTTTATTGTGATGATTGTATGAGTCGTACGCAAGTTTATACGTGGTTTACACGCTTTAAAATTGGTCGTGAGGATTTAAATGACGACCCTAGAGTAGGACGTTGAGAAACTAGTAATCGTGCAGAACTGGTGGTAAAAGTCCGTGAAATCATTGGTATCGATGCAAATTTTACAACGAAAATGTTGGCTGAGGAATTGATTACGAGTAAAAGCACTACTTGGACAATTTTAACTGAAGATTTGGGGAAAAGAAAGGTCTATGCGCGATTTGTTCCACATGAATTAAATGGCGACCAAAAAATCGCTCGAATTTTTAATGAAAAAAGGGATTTCCCTCATCGACCATCCTCCGTATTCGCCTGATCTATCACCATGTGACTATTTTTTATTTCCAAAACTGAAAACCAAAATGAAGGGAGCTTTTTATGATGATATCCCAGCCATTCAAGAAGCCGTAACCGAGGTACTGAAGAACATTTCTATAAATGACATAAAAAAATCTATGCATGCGCTGGTTGATCGTTCCAAACGTTGTTTTGAGTCAAATGGAACCTATTCTGAATAAATAATAACTTTCAAAGATAATAAAAAGTGTATTTTATTTTATATCAAAACGAGATGGCACAGATTCTGATATTCACAACAAAATTTGTTCAACTATGAAGCTCACTTTTGGTTGAATGGAGGGATGAAATCCACAAGTCACTGGTGAGACTCCGTCACATCCTCAAAAAGTCGCTTTCTTTGTGCTCTGTTGGTTTAGAGTATTGTTGGTTCGTGATTCTTCAAAAATAAATCATGCCATAATGTTACTTTCAATCAGAAACGAACCGTGTTCAATGATTTTTTCGTGCCGGAATATGCGGATATTGATGTAAGTGGCCCTTGGTTTCAAAAAGACGACGCTACATGCGTATAGCCAACGAAAAAATCAATTTATAAGGAAACTTTTTTTGAGCGAATTATCTCGCGTGGTTGGCTTAACCGTCGTCTTCAAGATCGGGCGATTTAACACCATTGGACTTTGTTTTTTGTGAGGTTATGTGAAACTGTTTCTCTACTCAAATAAGCCGGAGACAATTGGCTGCTCGGCAGAGAATGTTCGGCGCGTTATTAATGACATACGGGCCCGATTGCTGCAAGGGGTTTTCGAAAGTTTTATTCGAGCCGGCCGCGGCGATCACTTGTCTGTAATAATTTTTAAAACATAATAACAAACCCCTCTCTTTACCATTATCAAATTCTTGGTCATTACATTAAGTTATATGCGTTTATTTCTTCTTAAAACAAAAATCACTCTTGAGACTGATGACTGTGACTGCCAAGTGTAGATGCAATCATATAATTTTTTTCAGTAAGAACTCTTTTATAGCCAAACTGCCGAGCCTGAGCTTAGCAAGTATTCGGCTGCTGAAATTCAATTCGGTAATAAATGCATATATTTTTCCATGAAAATCTATTTTATAGAGCTTTAGTTTTAAAATTCAGAGTTTCAGGTTCAGCCTTGGCCAAATAAAAACATTGATCAGCCATTTTCTAGTTTTAAGCCCTCTCCTTGCTTAACGATGCTTAAGGTGTCTAAAACCAACGGTTTTAGCCTTAACTTTAACATCAAATCAAGCCTCGTGTCCAGTCCACCTTTTAATTGCCTACTATTTTCATGCTTATTAAAGCTGAACTGAGAATAAATATGCTTATAGTGAGTGGGCTTGTATTACACATACATACACACGTACACCGGCGATCTCATCGTAAAATTAGTAACTCTCACTAAACGAATTCATAACCGCGAAGAATCCATCCAACATTGAGTAAAGTATGCGCACATAAAAAGTAAAGCGTTGACTAAAGTGACTGACGCCTCAGACATAATTACCACCTTAAAGCGCTGAGGTTGATAGTTTGTGAGCTCGTTTGATCTTGCGCCGACCAAAGTAATGCACAGTGGCCAGTTGTCGTCGTAACTGTGGAGCAGTGATGAAGAACTTGTTCAATACATAAATATGTTTGTCTACAAAATTTGTGGATGGAATGTGCATATGTTTAGCCTTGCAGACATCAGCATAATGACAGAAATCTCTACACAAAATTTTTAGCTAATTTCTGGCCGATGAAGCGAATTATTTGTGGCCAAGTGTCTTCAATCCAAAGCATTCGAAAGGAAGCGCCCTTTTCTGAGGAGATCGAAAACTTGCTCTCACCTCTGATCTAGCATCTGAGAGTATTCTAAATTTATGGAAATAACCATTTTGCTCGTTATGAATGGCA